AATAAAATATTTCAGTTTATGGAATGTTTAAATATTACGTAAGAAACCTAATAACAGGGTAGAGATTAGTTTATTTTAATTGACACAGAAAAAGAAGAGGGCTTGAGTTACATATTTACATTAGACATAAAAATGTCTTCTTTTTAAAGATTTCCTTAAAAAGAAAATGAAAATGAAATAATTAGGGAAAAAATGTTACAAAAGTAACTACACGTGGAAAGTTTTCAAATTTGGAGAAAAAATTTGTCTCATGGAAATAAAAATTTCATAAAAAGTTTCTTCAAAGAATTTTAAAGGTCAAGAGTCGAAAGTATGCACCAAAATTTCCTAAGGAACATTCTACTCAAATATTGAACTAATATGTAACTTTGTAAAATGAACGAAAACGTAAATATTGTTTTATATAAAGCAAAAAATTACAATTTTTATTCAAATTTAATTCTAAAATTAGATGACTGCTGTAAAAGTCAAAACAAAACTCAGGAGGTTGAGAATTTCTTATCTAAGGATAAGAGAACGTTCGTCCTTTTTGCTGACAAGGGGGAGTCCAAAATTGCCAAAACTATGCTCACGCAATATTTGAATGGTCCCTAAATATTAATTTCTATCACGATTTATTTAAGGCATTCCTAAAATATAAAATAACGAAAAACATTTTAAAGAGTTTTCAAAACTATCATTAAATTAATATGAATACCAAACAAACCTTTTTTTTTTTTAAAAAAAATTATCTTTTTTTTGCAATTTATACCTTTTCTATTTCAATTTTAGGCAAATATTTAAATTTGGAAAAATATCTCTCGTATTGAATCATCATGTATTTCTCTCTTTATTTAGAAAGATAAAACTGGCAAGGCTTTTAAAAGATAGAACAACATGATAGTCCTTTTCAGCAATAGAATGGAATTTTCTTTCGCTGGTATTATCTATTCTTATCAGCCGTCACAAACTTTCTTTCAATTTAAACATTGGAATAATCTGAGCAGTGGAAATTCTTCTTCTTATCAACTAGAAAACACTGTTTTTGCGAAGTAATTCTTCTCCAGTTTCACTTTAAATTCTATGCCAAACGATTTCTGAGAATAAGAAAACGAAAAAAACTTTATCTTATTTGTTCTATGAATGGAAACTTTTTAGTTACTGAGGACAAAATCCTCTCTTTAACTTAAATATTTGTAAAAGAAATTAGAATATATAAATTTATGAAGAATTTTAATTTTTATAATTTGTTTTCGAAAGTTGGAATTCCTTTTTTTTAAAATGTTTAACAAATTAAAAGAGTGTTTTTTTTAAAAAAAAATGTATTAATGTATGCATTTTGTTTTCATCTTTTTGCGAAATTGTACGATTTAACAAAAATCTCAAAGAAATTTAAAACTTAAAAAAAGTATTTTTGATATTACTGAAATGTATGTACTTTAATATTCAATTTTTGATTAATTTTAATTAAATAAAAATTTAAAACAGCATCTTTTTAAATTTACATACAAAAATTAAAAACAAAATTTTCTATAACTATTTAGAAGAATTAAAATAAGTTATCTAAAGAAAGAGAACGAAGAAAAATTAAAATAAATGATCTAAAATCTGAATATTTCTACACTTATTTTATTAGTATTTTAGGTACTTAGGATAAAACAGTAAAAAAAAAATAGACCGATGAGAAAAAAAAAAGTATTTTAATCTTCAGCAACACTCAAAGTTCAATTCAAGGAAAAACTCATTTTCGGTGTTTCCTCTTATTCTATCGCTGAATAAAGCTGCAACTTAATATCGCTAAATTATTTTATATAGATGAATATCGCTAAATATGCTCTCGTTCTACTGCTGAATGAAGCTATAACTTAATATCACCAAATAACGCTAAATAACATTTTTTTAAATGATAATAGTGAGAAGTGAAATATGCAAAATTAAGTTATTCAGAGACATTACAGCTTTAGAACGAGGAGAAAAGCATAGTATCACTTTTCCTCAAATTGATTTCTGAGTGTAGAATATAATAATATGTGATTTTAAATGTTTTATCTTTTCTTAATGATAATAGAGAGAAATGCAGTAAACGAAGTTAAATTATTTAGTGATATTCAAAGAACATTTAAAATAACATATTTTTAAATTCGACACTCAAAGTTAAATTCGAGGAAAAACTTATATGCTTTTGCTCTCATTCTATCGCTGAATAAAGCTTTAACCTAAAATCGCTAAACAACTTAATATCGCATGTCTATTGCATTTCTTACTTTTATCCTTTTTAAAAAAATCTAAAGAAATTAAATTAACTTCTTTTTAAGTTACATATAAAAAGTAAAGGCAAAATTTTCAATATTCTGAAGAAAAATTAAATAAATTATTCAAAATTTGAATATTCCTGTACATATTTCTTCAGCTTATCTTATTAGTCTTTGTGGTACTTTGATTTCAAGTTTAGAAAACAGTGAAGAAATTGATTAATGAGGAAACAAAAAAAGTATTTTAATCTTCAGCAACGTCAAAATTCAATTGAAGAAAAATTGATACTATACGTTTACTCTCGATCTCTATTATTGAATAAAGTATATATTTTACAATAGAAAGACCCGATCGCAATATTTTTAATAACAAAATAAAACTCTAAATATTTAAGACTTTTCTAGTTCTGGAGGAACTCTTTAAATGAATATTACTACATTAATGGATATTACTTAAAATGAATATTGCTATAAAAGAAAACTACGATTTAAACGTTAATTTGTTAATTTTATAGAAATCCACGAGGAGCTATTTATTCTAGACTCAACAGGAAATGCGTGTTTTTTAAATAAAAAATACTCAGCCCGAAATGAGTGTTTAAAAAAAAAGAATACAGCTTGAAATGTGTGTTTAAGAATATGGACTCAGTTTGAAATGCGTGTTTAAGAAAATGAACCAAGCTACAAATGCATGATTATAAAAATGAACAGAACTTGAAATGCCTATTTAAAAAAGTGGATATAGCACTTTATTCCGTTTTTCAAACGTGTCTTTTAAAATTTGTACTTTTTTTTTATAAGAATAATAAATAAATGGATCCCATAAGATAATAAGTGTATGTCGGCCGTTTGCTTTAATCGCTTTGCAGAATATTTTAAAATTATATTTTTTAGAAAAGATTTTAAAATCTAGCAGTCCTTTTTACAGGGATATTACGAGTCCTATAAATTTATAATAGCTATATTATATTTACATTTTACGAATTTAGGTTCTTAAAGAACTTTTCAACGTTTAGTGTTCTAAATGTGAAGAGTTCGCCTGAAATATTACATCCGTAGCATACTAGTCCACCCCAACCACAAAGTTAGGATCGGTGTTTAAAAAAATAAAACTCAAATTCCAAATTCTTCTGTTAGTGTTAACACTTGGGTTGAGTCATCACCTCCTACATCAAGAAGTCTCCACACGGTCTTTTATAAGTAGTCCACGCAGACCGTTTAAAAAGTGAACCAGTTGTGCACATCACCCAAAAACCCTTTTATAAAAGTAACTGAGAGAAATTAATCATATATATTTGAGAATTGAATCTGTAGTGGTTGACAAGTGAATAAGTCAAGCCTATAATATTCATAAATAAAATAAATTTTTAATTATATAGTTGCTACCACCTTCTTATTTTAACTATATTCTGTATTAAATGAATCGTTCGGTAAGTGGATATCCTTCATAGTGGTCTGATCGGACTACTTCTAAAAAACCGTGTGGAGGCTTTCACTTATAGGAGGCGTTGGTTGAGTGCCGCTGTGGACTGATCGTAAAGACACGGTTTCCAGTAGAACACCGAAGTCAAGCATCACTTTTTGCGGTCAGTAAGCGGCTGAGTGTTCGCTTTGATCAGCCTGCGTATAGACAGAGGGCCTGCGTATATCAGCCGTTTGATCCGCCTGCGTATATCAGTCCACGTTAACCGTAACCAGGTTACCAACGTTCTACCGTAAAGAGCTGTATATGCCAATTTTTGTTTTGAAATGTGAAACAAGCACTTTTAGCTCATACGGAATAACAGTTTCATTTAAAATAATTAAGACAGTTTTTCAAATTTGAACAGAGAGCCTCAGAGGATAGAATACTCGTCTTCTAATGAGGTAACCCGGGTCTGAATCCCAATGATGGCTGGTCGATACAAATTCCACCCCCAACGCACACCCATTACAGTGCTGACTTAAAATATCCTCAGTCTGTTAGAGACAGATTATGGGTTAAAGTTGCCTTGTCATCAAGCTATCAATGGGAGGTTTTCCTATCCATGTATTGCAAATGAGAGTTAGTTCCATCAAAGAATCCTTCACGAAGGCAAATTTCTCCCCATACTTTTGTCAGGAGTTCCCTTGTCTTCTGGATTGAGTTTAAAATTACAAGGCTACGGAGTTTATCATTTTAGTCGTAAACTCAAAATTGGGTGGACTGTTCAACGTTTGTCATAACAAAAAAAAGTGGAACAAAGCTATGGTTCAACATTGAATCAGTTTTTTAGAGAACTGAGTATTCTATAACACAGTAGTTTCATAAAAAGGAAATTTTAGTGTTCACTTTTGTAAATTGGATTTTTCTTCAGATTGAAAAAGTACATAAACGTTCCAAATTTTATCAATATTTAAAAGTATACACTAAATAGTTTTGAATAATTTATTATAATATTATCCCCGTCTGTCTACAGCTTTTTTTTTCTTTGAAAAGGAACTTATTTTCGTTTAAATCAATGAGATGTTTAAATGACCAACTCACTCTTTTTCTCATAAGAAGCTCTTATATAAGTAAGTGAAATGAAAATGCCCAATTATCTTTCGTAATTTGAATTAAATTTCCTTCTTTTCCCCGAGAAAGTTATTCATTTTTACCTCACTTCATATCATAATTTAAATAGAACAATAACTCGTAAAATTTATATGTGCTAAAAATGTTGCGTATTGCATTTAAAATCATACTAAAAGTTGAGGCTGATAATTTTGTCCTTTTTTGTAGTTAAAAAATGAAGTTACGAAAAAATATTTTGATAAAAGTTTGCTCTTTATTTAATAATTACATTAAACTAATAACTATTCATTAATAACATTAAAATAGAAAACGTTATGTGCTACAAAAGTACTAAAGTGGAAATGTATACTTTGAGCATTCAAAATGTGACTGCATTACTTAAACTATTTTAACTAATTGGACAGTTAATTCCGATTGATTATCTCAGTTTCATAAAAACAGAATTTAGTTTCTATGGCTAACGTAGGGCAAAAAATTTAGTTTCATTCCTTACATGTTTGTAAAAAAAAAATGAACACAAATAAATAAAAAAAAACACTTTAATTACAGAAACTTTAAAATATCAAAAACATTTAAATCTTGTACAAATTACAAAATTCTTAAATCTAACATTAATTCAAATTAAAATTTAAGTTCAGACACTAAATTTTTAAAATATGCAGTTTACATCAATCATTTCACTTATATTGGAGCCATTTTCAAAACACTTCCAATTCTAATTAAACAACTTTTTTACCAATCATCTCGGATAAAATCTCAAATAAACCTTTCATATCTTTACGAATCTCTATCAATGAATAAGATGTAAGTTGATCAGATGTTGAAGGCTTGTTTAATAAACGATATTTAAAAACCAAATCTAGAAAAGCGCCGAATAGTGATGGGATGTTTTCCATTATTTTGATATCGTCGAGCTCCAAGTAATCTAAAAGAACCTCTGTATTCTCAGCAGCTTTTCCAAAGACAAGAGAGCTGGTGTATCGCATTATTTCTTTAACAATTGGATATGCTAGAAACGTTGTTCTATCCCAAGCATCTTTGATATCTTTTAGAGAAATAGTTATTGATGACCCTAAATCTTCGTCTACTTTCTGGTCTAATATTTGATACAATACAGGATCAGCAGATTCAAACAGAACTTCAAATAGTTGATTTATTTTAGACATAATAGTAGAATTTTTAACAATGTCTTTAACTATTGGAAAAATGAAATCGTTCATAAATTTTTTCTCCTTTGTTAGATTGGAAGAAAATGCAAATGCTTCAAGATAAGATGAACCCAATTGGTCAATAGCCTTTAACACATCTTCATGAAGTAATGCCCTTGGCGTAACATATGAAGAAAAGATTTCTGTTTTCAAAGTTTGGGTATCAAGTTGTATAGGTACAGTATAAGCTGACGTATGTTTTGTTTTACTTGAAGTTGCAGTTGAGTGAGATGGCTCTGGATTTACGCTTGTACCTAATTCGCAGACTCCGTTAGAATCACATTGAACTGCTTCGGTATTTAAATTAGGAATGTTTGCAACGGTGTTCGAGGCATCTATCTCTTTAGTACAATAAGAAGTGGACTCTGCTTCGACAGGTAGGCTTACCGATCCTTTTAAATGGCTTGTTGCATCAACTGAGAACTGTTCACAATCTGTTGGTTTAATGCTTTCCACTAAATGCACCGTTGATGAAGGGTGAACTGCAACAGATACAGTCTTCTCAATTTGGGCTGTTCCTTCTGGATTAGATGATAATGAGTTTTCCTTCCTGGTTTCTAAGACTTCGAGAACTTCGTCAATTACGTCTACTACTGTTTTCCACCAAGCTTCATAAGTTGGATTAACGCTTGTATCATCTTCACAGATGCCGTTGGTATCACACTGAAGTGTTTTAGTATTGAACACTGTTGATTCAGGACATCTGTGAAAGTCCAAGAATTTCCCACGTTGGCATGTAAAATAAACCTAAAATAGAAACCTCATTTAAATAATTTTGATATATAGGCGGGGATTCAGAAAAATGGTTGCAAACTCCGAGACGAGACAAGGCACTTATGGATTGAGAAATGCGTATCAATCCATAACCAGAAATGTCTGACTTATAGACTCCCCCACTTATAACTTATCGACTTCCCCACTTATGAACCTGTACAGTTTTTATTGCAAGTTATTTTAACTTAATGTAAATTTCACGGGTTTTTAAAACTATTTTTAAACATTGAACTTAAATAGATCAGAAATCGTACGCAATTAAATGATTTGACACCAAATTGAAACACTATGTAAATTAGTCACTAAATCACTAAATTATGATAACAAAATCTATTGCTGGGCATATTTCAAAGTAATTTGATTAAATATATTGGGAAGCGTAAATTAAGATAATCTAGATAACTAGAATCACTAGTTCAAAGGTTAAGAAACGTATGAACACATAGTTTATACTACGGAAGCTCCGTCAGCCGGCGTACAATGGACATTTCTGTACATTCTGTTTTTAAATAAACATTAAAAAAAACTACGATTAATAGATGAATAAGCATTAAAAAGAGTATTAACTTTTACTTAAAATTTTAAAATGCTTAACATGTTCAAAACTAATTAATTTATATTACTCTAATCGTTAATTATACTACCAAGTGCTACTGTCTTAAATAAATTACCTATCTGATAAGGTAAAAACTCGGAAAATATAGCATTTTTTTCAGAGAAAAACCATCTTTGGTCAAATATTTTACAAATGTAGTAAAAAAAATTATGGTATTTACTACATGCTGTAAATACCGCAATTGTGCTTCGACTTTTTCTTTCTCTAAAAAAAGGGTCAGAGTCAAATGTTCAATTTTTTCTTTAGTTTTGAAAATTATTTGACAGAATTCATTATCTGATAAAGATTAATGCTATAAATATAGGGAAGTTACTAATCAATATTTCACCAAATGAAAATATTGTTTAATATTTGTGTACACTTTATATCTTGATATTAACAACTGAAATTTTAAGCCAGATTAATTTCCGTATTTAAGATTAAGCCGCCAGATTTAAGCCGTATTTTCTTCATCCATCACCTTTTGTGAAAATCAATTAAAAAAATAGTTTCTGCGAGAGTTTTAGATATTACGAGTTTAAATGTCGATAAAAATTGTACTTCGATATAGTTTTAAGTGCAGTTCTTGACTAACTTCTATGTTTGTATTGCAAGCAAGTATCGCACATATCAGTTGTCAACATACATATCAGTATATTTCAATTCTTACTGAAACATACTGCCATAGGAAAAAATGTAAAAGTTCCCATAACCATGGTAATGGTGAGGAAAAAGCATGGAAAGTGGGAAAATCATGTAACGTTGACACGTATTTTCTATTTGTAACGAATATGGAAGAATTAAGCATTTACGTGTTAACTTTATTACCTATCATTTTCTACAAATGTTTTCTTACCTTGCATCCTGATGAGTAGTGCACATGGTAAGACACTTCTTCCGTCCAGTAACAGTGACCATTAAAATAAGTGTCGAATATCTTTTCATTACCTTCACCTGGTTAAAAAAAAAAATCTCAGTTTCATATTAACTGATTCTTACATTATCAATTTAAGATTTAGAAGGATAAAAAAAGTACACACATATTAGAAATTGAAATTACTGCTAGCTTTGAGTCGCCACAAATTTAAAGGAAAAATAAATTTCGCTACCAAAATTTCCAAAAACGTATTGTAGTACTTCAGAGTTACGGTTATTAATAGGTGGGAAGTAGATGTGGTTAGATAGAAACTTTAGTTTTAAATTTTTAAGTACTAGAATAAACATTTTATATTAAGTATTGAACGAGTGAAGTATTCAGGCTCATAATATAGCTAACATATAATTTATCTCTAAACTAAATGAGAAATAAAATGTCCATTTGTTCAGTTGTGAAGTTTTAAATGCACGATAATACCCATTTCATTTTGTTACAAGAGAATGTGCCCTGATTTTTAGAGGCGTGGGGAATACTTTTCACCATGAAATACGTATAAATATTTTGGAACATTTTAATATACAATAAATATTATATAAAAATTATTATTCATACATAAATATTATATATAAATATTATTTTTGTATATTAATAAATATTATGGTTAAATTGTGATATTTGTTAACTACATAAAATTATATGAACGCTTATACTGAAAAAAAAATTACATAGAGAAAATAACTTAAAATACACTAAAACTAGTGAATATGACACACAAACAGTTATTTTTCTATGAAAATGTGGGGCAAATAACAGTTGGTTGGGAGGTTGTGCCTCTAGACAATCTAGTGGATGATGCCGTGGACGGTTTTCACAGCTTCAGCTACCTGCAAGCAATTGTCCGCATAGACGAATGACCAGAGAAGAAAACTCTTATGCCCTGGGTATCTGTGTTGGAAAGGGAATCGTTTTTTGCAGGTAAGGTGATTTTTTTATTCTTGATGTTTTTCTTACAAAGGCCAGTCCACATTGGAACGCGACCTCTGGGGGTTACAGGCACCCTTAAGAATAAAATTGCAATATTATACATAATTGGCATGACGATGACTTTCAAAGAAACTAATGGGAAAATTGAATACTTTCAAATTACAGTAGATCAGTTAAAAAATAACAGAACTAGTTCCTAACGCAAAACAGTAAAAAAGTAACATAACTGTTATTAATTTTCCAGTTATAATAGCTAGTCGTCGTAGCAATGTATCAATTTAAGTTTCGATTTATAATTGTTTTCTAATGAAACTTTTCCCTTTTCATACTTTTATCGAAAATTTTTGATTTCTATCTGAACCAAGATTTACAATTATGAATTTTATCGGATGCATACCCAAACGTGCGAAGTTAATCTTAAAGTAAATTATTCAGAGCTAAAAGAGGGAATTGAATATGGGATCGAATGGAACATTCTACCACAAACATTCAGTCGAGAACTCCCTTTTTTTAAAAACTAAAAATTTAGATAAATCGCATTTTTAACGAAAAAATATATTTTAAAACTAGAAAATTTTTGAAATTCAAAATCATAATAAAATAGCTGTTTTTGAAGTGTAAACAGAATTTATATTCAAGATATTAAGCCCGCCTAGTGGTCAGCATGCCGGATTGCGAAGCCAAATGGTTGTGGGAAGTTTCACTATGTGTGTTGTTCTCTGCTGTGTGAATGTGACCCACCATATGAACGGGTATATGTGGCAGTATGGTTTGGCCAATGCTGCTCACCTCTGTGACTTAGGTTCACAGGTATTCATCGGTTAACGTTAATGAGCAGCACTTCAGAGGCGAAGAACGAGAGTTCAGTTTACTCAAAAAGGATTATAAAAGTTAAAAAAAAACTTCGTGAAGGAACTTTTCCTACAATGTTTTTCAAAAAAAATATGGGGTTTTATATCTTTTTTTAACCTTATACATTTGCTATGATTTTCATTCAGGCATCTCATAAAGATAGAAAAAATTTGTTAGAAAATTAAATAAGAAAATATTTCACAATATAGTGAGAAGGCATTTTTCCAACAGCGGTATTTTTCATCAATTTACTAATAAATATTCTTTTTCTTAAAACAGTACTTCACACGTGTCCTGAATTTCCACTAGAAAACAACCGCAACAATACGCAAAAGTATTTGTACCTAGATGAAAATCGTATTCGGAAATATTGGAAGTATTGTGGTTGGAGGTGTTAAGGCTCAACTGCAATGATAAGTTATAATTAGTGATTGTTTTAAATTGGGTGGAATCACATACTAGAAAAACTATGAAATGAATATTTTCTCAACATGGTTTTAATATTATTCCAAGTCTTTCTTATTGAGTATAAAAGCAGGTGCCGGAATTAGAATAAATTATACACTACCCCTAAAGAGCATGATATAATTAAAGTTTCAAGTTAAAGACAAAATTCAAGCTAATATGTCAATTTCAAATGTTGTTAAGCACTCAAATCATGAATATCAAACATTATTTTAGACTAAGTAAGACTTTAATTTGTCTATTTAAAGTTAATTTTTTTAATTTTTTTAAAAAAAACAGTCACTTTTTTTCTACCTCTTAGTTTGCTTAGTTTCCGCCCCTATTTAAAGACCTTATAATTTTGCTCAAATGAATTTCAGCAACAAAAAAAAACTTCAATAAGGACCAACCACTACAATAGAGTAGGAAAGAAACATTGGTCTCAAATCAATGTAACGAGAGTCGGCAACGAAGAATAAAATAGTTTACTTCTTTGTAGGAGACATAAATTTCTTAAAATCAAAAAGAGGCGAGATCTCAAATTGGACATGTTTTTTCCTTGTGTTTCTACAGAAATAAATAGAACTTTCCTAAAGTATTAAGTTTCGAAGCTGACGCAGACAAAGATTTGAAGCTTTTTTTTAAAAAAAAAGTCGCTCATTTTACGGCCTTTATTTTCTGCAGATCTAAGCACTTAAGTTATTTTTCGAAGACAGTAAGTTCTTTTTAGTAATCAGTGCGGGAATTAAGTTAACGTAATGCGACTAAATTTAAGTTAAAAAAATTAGGGAAAAAATAATAATGCAGCACGACTAAATGAAACTGTTATAACTTTTTAATATTATTGAATTGTGTCTTAAAACATTGCTAAAGTGGACCATATTGTAGCATGAAAGTACTTTGAATACGATAAGGAAGTTCTGGCACAGTAAGAAAAATAAAATACGTGCTTATTTTCCACAAAAGATTTAAATAAAATTGACTATAATTTCTGAGTTAAACTTTTAAACATTTTAGTTTAATATGATGTCCTACAATTAAAAATTTTCTCTCACAATTTCAGTCTGTTTAAGCAGAACTAAAACAATTAAATTAGGTATCAGCTTCTCGGGTAATAAACAAGCTGGTACAATAAATTACGCTCCTGTAAATTAGGTAATTTGTAATGATCAAATCAAGTGAAGAAAGGATCAAATTCACGAACTATAAATTCGCTCCTGTAAATTAGATAAATTGTAAAAATCAAATTAAGTGGAGAAAAGATCAAACCCACGAGTTATAAATTACAAGTAGTTATCAGTTTCGTGCAAAGACATGTGGATGTTAGAGGTAAACTAATCAAACACCTACGAAAAGAATTGTGTAATAAAATATCAATGATGGGAAAGGGCAAAAAAATTAAAAAGAAAACTACTGGAATGAGGCCGGGAGGTACTGGAGGTTAAAACTCCACAATTTCATGACCAGCTAAGAGACTGTGGCAATGTGGTCAGCACTGAATATAAGTCATCTTGACTTCCCTGACAAGCTGGTACCTGTCGATCTTATGTTGGATGGGCTTCAAGCCACAGCTGAGGATTGAACTCCAGCTCTTCACAATGACAGTTCAGCTGACTGTCGCTGTAAAAGGCTGATATTTACCACTTAGCCATCGTGGTTCTTTTTTAAATGGAAAAAAAAAAAAGCTAAAAATCTAAATTTTAATAATCATAAATTTTAATAATCAAGGACATCATTATTAACTTTTTTTAAAAATCATTTGTTTCTTTATAAAATCTTTGATTCAGCTAAATATTTACCTAAATAAAGAATTTAATTCCATAAGAAATATGCATTAGAGGTTTTAAGTTTTACTATCCTTAAAACTTAAATTAGGTGCTTTCCCCCTTGAATTGATGCCTAAAGACGTTATACAGTTTTCTGCACGTAGTAGGCAGTTATAATATTATAAACTTTGCTCTGGTGGTTAAAGCAAATAAAAGCCCTGTAATTCATTACAGTTGTGCAAGGTTCACAAGTGATTGTTGAAGTAAATATAATTAATTTGGGGTCATAATGATTTTAATACTGCAATATTTTGGGTTTTCCGAAAGCAGCTTTCAAATATATTTCAAGAATATTTCACAAAAAAAAATCACCGATTAGAGTTTAAAAATGTATAGTTTAGAGAGAAAAACTTTTTAAAATCTTACTAATCAATATCAAGGAAGGATATAGGTTTAATTTGACATGTTACATTTTTTACAAGTTTGATTTAATTTATTTACACGTTTGACACGATAACACGTTACATTACTTTCCACCTCCTTGGCTTTAGTCGAATTTGCTTTTATGATTTTATCTTTTCAATAGTGATGCAAGATTTTGAATTTTTCTTTGTTAAATATTAATCACTCATTGTGTATTTAAATTCAGGTAAGGGTTTCTAACTACTAAGAGCAGCGATTAAAAAACACTTATAAATTTTAGTAGTCACATACAAGCAAGAACTAAGTGTCTATTTATGAAGAAAGGTTTATGCAATATTCCAATAAAGCCTTAATTTCAATTATAGCCAAAGTATAGAAAAAAATGGTCAAATATCTCAAGACGAAAAGTAGTTACGCTAATGAAATGAATACTTTCATAAATATAAAACATTGAGATTTTAACTTTGTATAAAGTACGTAAGAAAAATTACTATAACTTGCCCATACAATAAACACACTCAAAATACCACATAGAATGTACAGTTTAGGATTCAAAAAAAATATTTTTTTACGTACTTGCTCTCTGGTAGTCAGATTTATTAATGTAGGGACAGTGTAATGTAGAAATGTAAATAAGGTAATTAAAAATGAACTGCCGTATAAATGCTTTATGTTTCCAAAAATGTTTTCCATTAAAATGTCATAGTTATTCACATTAATTTGAAGATTTTCTGAATATTTAATTTTAACCTACCATAAATTGAATTTGAAACTGTCGTTAATTCTCTTTTCTTTCAAAGAATGCTAACAAAAATTTACTATTCAGGTTTTTACTCACAAAAGTAACACTTTTAATTTTCATATATTACAAGTGTTATTTGTTAAAGTGCAATTTTCGTTATATAACTGTTAATATTTAAATACCCAATATAAAATTATTCTTAATCGTATTCCCCTTAAAGTATTTCCATTATATATTACAATAAGAAATACTCAAATTAAACTTTAATATATTTTATCAAAACAAAATATCTGAGGAAATTCATGACTAACAAATAAACCAAGATTTAAAAGTACTTACTTAGCGTTACCACAGATAAAAGAAGAAGAAACACAGTAAACTTTCTTACGATAGCCATTTCTAAAAAAATGTATAACTGAATAAAAGAGAAAGTCAATGCAAAGGGCAATAATTTATATCTGCGGAATGTGATTGATTGATTATTAGGTATGTTATAAAAAAATATTTGTCACTATTACAGCACCAAGTTTTTAAAACGTTTGAGTTTAATCCGTTTTTTGTATTTGGGTAAACGAAAAGTTTGGTCTAACGATGGTGTCACTACGTGAAGGGGTGGCTGCGGTCAGTGTGCGGGTGAGTGACCACTTGAAACATTCTGTGTAGCAACCGAGGGTGTGCGGTATTTGTCCTCGTTGAACTATTCTACCGTAAAGTACTCGACTTCGCGTGCAGGTATTTGGATTACTGAAGCGTGGGTGCCATCCCTTCTGTAGAGGATCAAAAGTATGAAGGCATGTCTTCGGATCCTCCTAGAAATGTTTGCCAGACAATCGCCAATAGCCCATTGTGCAGCTCTAGTGCGACGCAAATGAACTACAACAACAACTACGTGAAAAGGAAGAGACTCCTTATTCATAACCCGTGAAAAATTTCATACACTCTATATATACTTTTTATTTTGTCAGAAGCGGCCTTCGTTACGAGTGGTATATACCTCCCAACAAGTGCTCTATAGCTTGGAGGTAGCAGGTTCGAATCCCATTATGACCTTGGATAGATTGTTGTACTGCATTTCTCTAATATATGCTATAGGTTCTTAGTATGCATAGGTACGGAGGGTGTGCGGTATTGGTCCTCGTTAAACTGTTCAACCGTAAAGTGCTCTACTTCGCGCGCAAGTCGTCGGGCTATTGAAGCGGGTGGTGCCATCCCCTCTGCAGATGATCAAAATTGTGATTGCATGCCTTCGGATCATCCTCAGGGATGCTTCCCAGACCTTCGCCAATAGCCCATTGTGCAACTCTAGTGCGACGTAAATGAAATACTGCAATAACAGCTATATGTTCTTATGTTAACAAAGGGTTTAAAGCGCTTTTTTGTATTGAGGACGCAAACTATGCCCGCTTATGCATATAATAATGTAAATAAATAAAAAATAATAATAAAAAAATTCCATCACCAGATTTACAGAACGAAAAATATATTTTGGTTGGTTTCAAGCAAGCATATGTGTTGTACCAAACCATTTATATTTTTGAGTTAAAGCAGATCTTTTGGCACTGCTAGAATTGTTTCTATTTATTTTTTACAAATGGTGGTGGCTTTGAACCATCTTACTCTTTCACTTTTAATGAGATCTTTGTTTCATGTAATCGTCGCACTAGTACTCTGAGATCCATTCTCATTAAGAATAGAAAGACAAATATGGTAGATACATTCGTGACCTTCACAATATTTATATTGGAGGGCAGGTGAGCTAACAGATTGACAGATTAATCTCAATTAAGAAAGTGACTGTGTCCAATCTGTGTATGAGTCGTCTAACTTTATACATAGTGTAATGGAGGTTTTAATTAAGCAACAGCTTTTACACGCCTTTTTTATCCGATTCGAAGCTCTGTTCAGAATAAAATATGTAGATATAAAGTGCTACTATAAGTGTATATACTAGTAAAGTAGACATAGTTTTCAAGACTAATGTACATCACGTGCATTTTATAAACGTTGGAGAAATGAAATTTGCTATATTTTTGATTTTTGTTGTTGCTGCTGTATGTAGCTCATTTACGTCTCACTAGAGCTGCACAATCGGCTATTGGGGACGGTCTGAAAAACATCCCTGAGAATGATCCGAAGACATGCCATCACAATTTTGATCCTCTGCATAGCGGATGGCACCCCCGCTTCGGTAGCCCGACCACCTGCGCGCGAAGTCGAGCACTTTACGGTAGAACAGTTTAACAAAGACCCATACCACACACCCTCGGTCCCTACGCAGACTGATCCAAGTGGTCACCCACCCGAACACTGACCACAGCCAGTGATGCTTGACTACGGTGATGATCGAAGCTCTCTCAACGTTCCACCGAACACTCTGAAGAGGGGAGGTAGCAGATTTGAATCCCACTATAAACTTGGATGAGTCTACTTAATGTCATTCTCTTAATTGTGCTATACATTTTTCCACTTTACAAGGATATGTAAATCGTAGTTTTTAGTGAACATTCAGAACACTCTAACCTACATATATATGGGCAATAATAAAAAATAAAAAAAAATTACAGAGCCTATTTGCTTCATCCATTCTTCATAGATTTTGATTACATTATAGATTATTTAGATACCCTTATAGATATCCTTATATTATTTGATCATCTTCATAGATTTTGATCACGAAAAAAATCACCTTAAGAGTTTCATTGATATATAATACATTCATTGGGACAGTAGATTAATATGCCGTTAAAGTATTAAACCATGAAATCACACGAAGAATGAAATCATTTTTAGGAGCGGCTTGGGTGTCTGAGGAGCTAAGACAGTCTTCTACCTCCGGGTGCTCCAGTCTTCGGACAAACAGAAGCTGCAAATTACCTTACCATGAACCCACCATTTCCCGCCTAGCTACCGGCCATCTTAAAGGTTTACTATTTTCTGAGGGAACTAAAACCTACCTACTCTGCCCTGAATGCCATCTACACCGGGCTTCCGCCGATCACATCCTGAACTGTCTTGGTCTTCTCTGGGAAGACATTTACTCTACTCCTCTTTTGGTGTTTGATTTTCTTCAGGTCAACGGGTTCATACATCTGGCCTGACGACAATTAATTTTAACAGACCTATATTTTTTTAAGTCACGAAATAAGAAATAAAAATATACCTTCTCTGATTAAATATACCTTTTTTTTTCAAAAATTCCGATTCTTAAATAGAGTGGCAATCTGAAAAAATAGTCCTAATAGTTGTTGGTAGAAAAGATCTTGAAAATTTGAATCCCTTAATGATAATTAAATTTTATGCATATTTTGTCATCGCAAAAAAATTGACTAAATGAGATTTTCTATTTATATTATTTAAAATTTNTGCTGTATGTAGCTCATTTACGTCTCACTAGAGCTGCACAATCGGCTATTGGGGACGGTCTGAAAAACATCCCTGAGAATGATCCGAAGACATGCCATCACAATTTTGATCCTCTGCATAGCGGATGGCACCCCCGCTTCGGTAGCCCGACGATCTGCGAGCGAAGTCGAGCACTTTACGGTAGAACAGTTTAATGAGGACCCATACCACACACCATCGGTCCCTACGCGGACTGATCCAAGTGGTCATCCACCCACACACTGACCACAGCCAGTGATGCTTGACTACGGTGTTGTTCGAAGCTCTCTCAACATTCCACAGAACACTCTGAAGTGGAGAGGTAGCAGGTTTGAATCCCACCGTTAACTTGGATGCGTCTACTTGATGTCCTTCTCTAAATTGTGCTATTAGTTTTTCCACTTTACAAGGATATGTAAGCCGTAGTTTTTAATGAACATTCAGAACACTCAAACCTGCATATATGTGGGCAATAATAAAAAATAAAAAAATAAAAAAACAGAACCAATTTACTACATCCATTCTTCATAGATTTTGATCACCTTAAGAGTTTCATTGATATGTAATACATTCATTGAGACAATAGATTAATATTCCCTTAAAGTATTAAACCATGAAATCACTGAAAATTTCCGACAACAAACACATAAATGACCAAAATGGTAAAAAGAAAAGTTATGAAATTTGACGAAATAATAAGACGATTACCAAACTTACCAAAAGATCAAGGTTAAAGCATTTTTCCTATTGCACCTTGAATCTTTGTGAAGAGTTCATAAATCACTGAAACAATTATCTGAAAGAGTTTTAGAAAGAATGATAAAATTATCTGAATTATAAGGAATAATAGGGCAAAAGAAAAAAAATTTATTGATGCAGTGGTATAAATTGTTTATTTAATGTTAGAGCGATTGCTTACCAGAGGGGCAGAGAGGAAAACTATAATTAAATGCAGGGTATTTAATGAACATGCTTACAAAACATTTTTTTGACAAATATGTTAGCTGTTTTCATTCGTCTATTGCGGAACAAAACCGGTAAATCACCCATCTAATTAATAAATCTATTTACAAATTAATTTTAAAAATTGCTTTCATTTTCATCAACCAGGAAAATTAGATTTGAATAAATTCATCCAATTTGATATTCCTTGATCTATATCCTAAAGTAGAAGAAAATTATTAAAAAAGAGAAATTATCGGAATATTCTGAAACATGTAAAGTTTTAAACAAATAATGTATAGCTTCTTTTAAAAATAAATTAACCCTGAATATTTTTTTAACAGAAATCATCAGAAATTTTACTTTCCACGGGCATTAATCGCTTCGCTCTAAGCTTACTTAAATATTATGTGAACTGTACAAACTAATCAGTTTCACTTTTTAAAAAAATAGTTTTTTTTTTGTTTCAGAATTCAAAAATTACCAATTAATATTAAAAAAACCACTACAAATGTATTAGATTAATATTCCAAAGAAGAAAAAAAAGTATTAATAAAAAGAAGAAAAATTCTACAAATATTATGAAATCTAAAGTTTTAAAGGAGAAATTATTCTTTTTAAATTGTATTTGATTAAAAATTGTTTGAAATAAATCAACGTGAATTTTACTACCTGCAGAACATTGTATAAGACTCTTTTCTAAATTTGCTTAAATAACATGCGTAAATCTTTAAAAGACGTAACAGAAACGTTTACTTCTTGATGGTGTTTAAATAACCAATCAATATTATTAGAACAATATCCTTAAGTATAAAAAAAGAGAAGTTCTCGAGATGTTGCGGAATACAATGTTTTAAATAAGAATATATGCATACCTGTTAATAGCTTTATTACCTTCCAATAGTTCGAATTCAAATCGTACTTCCGGTTTTTCTGGAAGACTTAATTTTTATATTTAATGTGGTGGCAAAACTTATATAATTACATTTTACTCTTCTTTAAGTAAATGTGGTTTAAAATAATTTTGACTGCCATTACTTTAAATAATTTAAACATATATATATATATATATACCTTTTCTTCTAATCAAGTTTTAAAAACCACCANCCATTTTTTTCTGACTAATTTCACACAGATATATATATAAATATATATATATATAGTGAGTTTTATTGAAATAAAAAAATAAATTATCTGCAAAATAGAAGCAAAGTTTATGAAGAAAAGATATTA